CTACATAACAAGAAACAATGCCAGACAGGAGATACCTTCCTTTGAGTTGTTGGCCAGGGTGGCCCAAGAGACTCCCAGACAGTAACCCAGTATAGAACTGGAAAATGAACAGTAGACCCCAATCTTATCTAAAGGAATATTGGCAACTGATTGTTGCTAGATTAGGTTTATTTTGACCAACTGTATGGTCTTAAACACCCAAAAAGAAAGTATAAACAAAGATTAAGGTGATCAGTATTTCTTTAGGAGTTCAAGGGATTACAATTCTCAGGCATTAGGCTTAAGTCCATATAAAATGTTATTTAGACAATTATTTCTCATTGATGATTTTGTTTCTAAGCAGAAAGTGCTGCTCAGATGTAAGACTTCAAATCTTGGTCTGCAATACTGTAGTACCCACCTGTAGCTAAGGGAGGCAACCAGCTATTGTTCTAAAATGACAGATAAACTTGTTTTCTCCCTCTATCTAGAAGCCCTTGAGAAGTAACTGACACTGATTCTAGACACTCCAACAGCTATCAAAGTGCCTGAAAACAAATCCTGAGTCCATCACTCTTGAGTCCAGCCTTGGAAGACAAAAGAAAAATGAGGAGGAACCCAATAGAGGGATGCTTCTGGAAGCTCTCGACAAGAAATTCCAATGGACTCTGATATGAACACTTGAAATTTACCCTGTTCTCATCTTTTTCTGGTTTCCTGTCTAGAACTTGTAATGATAACTAACCTTGCCTTTACTTCTCCTTCACATCTCCTATTCACCAGTCAAAGACTTTCTTTCCTCCCTACAGATAAGAGTTATGCAATTTGGGAATCTTTTAGATAGACACACTGAAGGGATACCCAAATTGCCTCACCCTGTGTCCCTGTTCAGCATGGAAGAATCCAGAGCAGTCTGCATCCAGATTCCCTATCAGCAATTTGGGTAACGCCTTCAGAGGATGGTACATGTGCAAACATGTAAGTGTGAGTAGCATTAAAAATGTAGGAAATAGCATATCTTAAAATGAAATGGAGATCCTCTTTAAAGGGTAAAAATTCATTCAATTTTATGTCTTACAGAGTTTATACTGAGTTCAATATTGAACGGCTGTATTAATTCAACTGTGAACCTAAAAATTTACAGCCACCTTTGAAAGAAATGTATCCTTGCTCTGGAATGTGTTATTGAGTATGTTAATGCTGTAATTAAATGCTTCTTCTAATCATGTGGTTATTAAATTTTTTAAAAATTCTTAAAATAAGTAAAATTTTTAAAAATGAATGTAAAAAAAGAATAGGAGGTAGGAATTGGCTAGGCAGTTGCAGTAAAAATACCCTAAAGAAAAGTAACCAGTTTCTTGGCTAAAAGTCAAAATGTTCTTGGGCCCCTTAGTAACATATTCTGTTCCAAAAGCCAAAAATGTCAAAAGTATTGGGAGCTTTTATCTAATCCCTGAAAGATTTTAGGGTTACCTCTTCAGAGGGGGCAATGTTAGAGTAGCAAAAAGCCCCAGAAAGGAAGGAAGGACAGGAAAGGCAGGAAGAAAGGGAGGGAGGGAGGGAGGGAGGGAGGGATGACATAAAGTTGTCAGAAAAAAATGATGGGGAGATATGGGAGGAGTTGGAGGGAAGGGAGTGGGTATGGATTTGATCAAAACATGCATGTATAAACTTCTCACTAAATTTTTTAAAAATTATTTCTTATAATTTTCTCCTCTATATCTATGTCATCTCTTTTTCAGTGACTATAATTTGAATAGACTTGTTTTTTTAAATTTTGACCTTCTCTTCTAGCTCTGTATTTTTATTCTAATTTCTAAGGAAATTCCTTGATTTTATCTTTTAATACTCCTAGTTCTTATACATGACCGTAATTTTGAATGCCTGTAAGTTCTCTTAGTTCTCTGTTCCTATTTTATAAAGTCTGATGCATTTTAATAGATAGCCTAACTTTCTGAGACTTTTTAATGTTCTTTGATAATTTCCTATACATATATAATGCATTCTAATTTGTCTCATCTCTCTATGGGTAGGACAGGGCTTATTCATTTGTGAGTTCCACTATGTTCCAGCAGTGCCTAACTTTGGGGGCCATACCTCAGGATCTATTTGCCTCTTTTCTGAGGTCACTCCATTTCTCCAGAATACAATCCTCCATACTTCACCATCCCCTCTCCCCTGCTGCTGGGCCTGAATCCAGGAATGAGGCACTGAAACTTGATTAGGTGTACGCTGGCCCGAAAAAAGTAAATCTCAAGTCTTGTGGGGGGAAATATGGTAAAAGACCATTAAAAGGGTCTTCACCTGGTTCTGATGAATGGAAAACAACAGGGCTCCAATGCTCCTGCTGCTGAGTATCCACCCACATTTCACCACCTGCACCCCCTCTGCAGTACTTTACACCTTCATGTGCTGAGGCTTTCCCAAGTTCAGTCTTAGAAAAAGAAAACTAAAACTGAACTGAGGACAAAAATGCATATATAATTACAACTATAATAATACATATGCTTATCTGATAGGTTAAAATATCTTAAAATGAAGAAATAGAATAAAGATCATTGTTTAAATAGTTCTCTTTAGGGCTGAAAAGATGGCTCAGTGGTTAAGAGCACTGACTGCTCTTGTAGAAGGCCTGGGTTTGGTTCCCAGCACCCAGTTCCAGGAGATCTGACATCCTCTTCTGACCTCCATGGGCACTGCTTGACACAGGTGCAGTTATATACATGCACACTATACACTCATATACATAAAGTAAAAATAATAAAATATTTTAAATAGTTTCCCTTTTAACATTTAATATTTTTCATTAAAAATTTTCTTAAACCCAAGTTAATAGTGGTTTTTGTAAGCTCTCCAAATCAGAGAACAAAATCAAATAAGACATCATGGGTCACACAAAGTTTTCACAGGGCTACCTATTTATCCATCCCACAAAGAAAGATGCATTATACTGCCTCAGACTGACCTGCATTCCAGTTCTTCACACCAGTCTTTAGCTCGATGTTTACGTTCAGCCCAAGGAATGATCATCAAGGAATCACCATTGCAACTTAAATTAAAAAAAAAAAAATACATAAGCAAACTATTAGTAACTAGCTTCACAAGAAATATGACTACAGATATTATAACCACCAAGATTCCTGTTTATGCTATTCTAAGTGGTGCATGATACAATATATATAATATACAAGTAGGAAAGACCTCAGTGCTGATTTCCTTTCATCCATAAATTTCTCAAAAAGAAAATTCCAAACAAAACATGCAGTGCTAAAATAAAAAAATGACATGAGAATATGTTGAGTTATATGTCTAAAAGGATGATCAAGAGCTTTTATTATATATTTCATATCAACATGAATGATCTTCTGCTACAGACTTCAATCTTTAGCAGGGCTATGTAAATTGAGGTTCCAGTAACTATGGAAATGGTCTGTGTCTGTTTTATCCACAATAGCTCACTAGCTACAGGTATTAGGCACTGGAAATGAAGCTACTAACACCAAGAAGGTAAATTTTATTATCAATTAACTTCTATTTAAATAGGCCCATCTAACAGGAAGCTATCATATTAGCTAGTGCAGTCTTAGAGGGGCAGTAGTAGCAAGAGAAAAGAAATTATTTTGCAGGTTGAAAAGTATTAGTAAAAGATGGGCAAAAACAAAATCTCAAAAAGGTAAAGAAAAAACTGATCAGATGCAATCAATAATCAATTTAGGGCTGGTGAGATGGCTCAGTGGGCTTGCTGTACAAGCCTGGCAATCTGAGTTCAATCCCTGAACCATGTATAGATGGAAGAAGAGGACAAAGTTGTCCTCTATCCTTGACAAAGCGACCCACATATGCCCACACCCACAAATAAATAGTAATAATAATAATAATAATTTTTAAAGAATCCATTTTTTAAAATATTTTATTATTTTTATTTTATGTGTATTCGTGTACTGCCTGCATGTAGGTAAGTGTACCCATGTCATGCAATGCCTTGAGAGGTCAGAAGAGGCTGTCGGATCCCCTGGGTCTGAAGTTACAGACAGTTGTTAGCTGCCATGTGGGTGCTGGGATTCAAAATCAGGTCCTCTGCAAGAACAACCAGTGTTCTTACCCGCTGAGCCATCACTCCAGCCCCCTAAAGAATCCATTTTAAAGGAAAACAGACAAACCCAATATGTTAATATATTGGAATACTCTGCTATGAATCAAGAGTTACTAGAAACAGAAACAAACCTATCTTTTTTATATAATTTTTTTCATTTTTTATTGAGCTTTTTAAATTTCATACATTTCCCACTCAAATTCAGACCCCCTCCCCTATCCATGCCTCCTCCTCCCTGCACCAAACCCTATGCACTCTGCCATATATGCTGAGTCTTATTCACTCAGGTATTTGTACCCAAATGCCCTTCAGTGTAAATGCATTCACTGAAATCTAGTCAGCCCAGGCAGTGGCCATATGTATGTAAGTCATACTCTCCCTCACCCAGCAGCAATCAGTCTCAAATAGTTCTCAATCTAGTGCTGGCCCGCCACCTATTTCCCATCTCCCCTTTTGTCCTTGTATAACTGACCTGACAAGAGTCCTCTGCTCAATGCCACTGCTGCCACAGGCTCACATGAGCAAGCCTCCAGTAGTCTGGAGGCCTCCACCTCCCTGTGTTCATGAACCAGTCCTGGCTCTTACAATCATTCCACCTCCTCTTCCACAAAGGTCCCTGAGCCAAGGTTGGGTAATGTTCCATATAGGAGTCCCATCCTACACTCTACAGTCTCTTGTTCTCCAAAACTTCGCCAGTTGTAGCCTTCTGTGTGCATCACACTCTGATGTACATGGAAGCGTCACTGATGAGAGTTGAGGGGTTCATTAGCCCTCTCTCTACCCCTTATTCCACTACGCTCCATGAGCCTTGGTTGTAGAGATTCGACTGCAGATGTGTCACCTAGTATGGGCATCTCCCAGGCATATGCTTTCTATGCCTTACAAGATGTGCAAATCTGCAGTAGCCTCCATCTGTTGCAAAAAGAAGCTTCGTCGGTAAGTGCTGTATAGCATACTTGTCACTCTAAGGGAGGTCTCTTCTATCTGGCACTGTGTTCCCTGTCAAGCAGCTCCCAGGTATACATATGCATTAATGTTCAGACACTCTACGTGCATTTCTCAAAGGGTTTCTAGGACAGCACTTTCCCCTCTAGGTTTCTTGCCCCCTGAGATTCACTCATCTCCACTCTTTTTTCTCCCATCAGGCTTCTCTCCTCCCTCCCTCCCTAGTCAAAGTGCCCCCATTATCCTCACCCTCCCCCCAAAACCTCCAGACTACTCCCATCTTTCCCCTCCTGACTTCCCTCCCTCCCCCACACCATGGTCCCTTGCATGTCCCTCCCTCCTCTCCAACCTGCCCATTACTCCCACATTGTCCACCTCCCTCAGGTAACATCTGTTCCCTACTTATCTCCCTTTCAGGTTGTTTCTTTTCCTTTATCTCCATATATCCTTTCTCTTTACCTGGCTCCTGGTGTTACATCAGAATTTATATACTCACATATAAGGGACTGGTACTACAATCCACAAATGAGAACATACATCGCTTGCTTTTCTGTGTTTGTGTTACTTTACTTAGTAAAACACTCTCTAGTTCCATCCATTTACCTGCAAATTTCATAATTTCATCTTTTCTTACTACTGAGTAGAACTCTATTGAATAGATGTACCACACTTTCATTAACCATTCGTCAGTTGAGGGACATTTGGGTTGTTTCTATTTCTTAGCTATTGTGAAGAGAGCAGCAACAAACATGGATGTACAGGTATCTCTACAGTACAATGAGTCCTTTGGATATATGCCAAGGAGTGGTATCACTGAATCATATGGTAGGTTCATTTTTAATTTTTTGAGAGTTCTCCACACTGCTTTCCATAGTGGTTGCAGGAGCTTGCATTCCCACCAACAGTGAATGAGCATTCCTTTCTCCACATCCTCTGCAGTATTTGCAGTCTTTCGTTCTCTTGATCTTTGCCAATCTGACTGGGGTAAAATGGAATCTTAAAGTGGTTTTTATGAGCATTTCTCTAATTACTAAGGATGTTGAGCACTTTTTAAGGTTCTTAGCCATGTCTATTTCTTTGTTTGAGAACTCTGTTTAAGCCTATCTCCCATCTTTTTAATTTGGTCATTTATTTTCTTATTTCTGTGTTTTTTGAATTCTTTGTATATTCTGGATATTAATCCTCTGTCGGATGTGTCACTGGTCAAGATTTTCTCCTATTCAGTGTGTTTCCTCTTCCTTCCCTTAGTTGTTTCTTTTGCTGTACAGAAACTTTGTAATTTAATGAAGTCCCACTTACTAATTATTGACCTTAGTGCCTGAGCAGCTCATGTCTGATTTAGAAAGTCTTTTTATATGTTTATATCTTGGAGGGTACTGCCTATGACAAGACAATCTTTTAATATGCTATGCACTCTTTGGGAAGTAACTTTCTGAGACAAAGGACTTTAAGTGTTATCTATACAGACACTTTTACCTCTAACATCCACAAATACATGTCAAAAGCAGGAACATTCTGAATGAAAAATAAAGACAAAATTTATTTTTAAAAACATGAATTTCTTATGAAGTTCAGTAAAAATTTTTTTATCATATTTCTGACTATCAGTAGTGGCATCTTCCTAAAACTTAGCCATGGTCTCAGAATGCCCTTGTGTTAAGTTATGAAACATTCTCTGCACAAGAAACAGTTCATAAATATTTGAAAATTATGTTGGTAAAGAGATTGATCTTTGTGAAAACCATACTAGGAAACCACTGAAGGGTTCTACAATAAAAGGGGCACTGATGAGATCCCAGAAGAAACAGTGATGGCTCATCAATCAACAGGACTAGGCCTGCAGTTATTATTGGAGCAAATTAGTCAAAGCAGAGGTTCTCCCAATATTAAATAAGTCTATGAAATGCTATACTAAAAATATAACTTTTCAGCCAACACATTATAGTAAACTAAGTGCCAAAGATATATTTTGAATATGTTTGTGCTCAGATTTTTAAATTTCCAATCATTCAAATGCTGAGACAGAATGGAAGCTACAATATTACTAATTTGTCAACAAAAATGACAATTTTATTTCCTTTTGTGTCAGTAATACTTTATATCAAACTGCTGAAATGAAAAGTAAAAGAGAACATTTTGGATCCAGAGATGATTATAATGCCCACTCTACCAACAAGAACAAATTAGAGCAATGAATTGAGATAGAGGAGAAAAAAAAATGAATCTAACAAGCTATTATAATGTTGCAAATCAAAGCAGAAATTGTTCTTTAAGCTACACAGAGTGTTTTCAAAAGAACTTTTAGAAAAATATATCATAAGTTGATTATGTGTATTTTCTTTTTTTCTAATATTTTATTTACTATTCGTACGAGTATATTGCCTGCATACATGTAAGTGCACCCATGTCATGCAATGCCAGCAGAGGTCAGAAGAGGACATCAGATCTCGTGGAACTTTAATTACAGACAGCTGTTAGCTGAGATTCAAATCCAGGTCCTCTGCAAGAGTAGCCAGTGCTCTTAACCACTGAGCTATCATTCCAGTCCCAATATGTGTATTTTCTACACAGAATATATATTAGCCACAAGACTGATTACTAAAATGATTAGTGATGGTATGGAGCCCTTGGCAAAATGAAAATCTGGAATTTACTATACAAATTTGTAAAATGCTTTTATGATTCTTCATTGAATGAAAGGGTAAGAAACTCCACTAAAATATAGTAAAAATAAGTTCTTCTCAAAGGACCACACTGAAAGGTAAACCTTAAAAACCCTGATTTTGAATAAAATCTTCAGCTTATTTTCAAAGCAAAGTACAACCAGCTCATGTCTACAGGTGCTAATGCAGTGCTACTGCTTTATCATATCAGCAACAATCATCACAATACTCCTTACCTTTCATTGATTTTTTACTAAGGACCAAACAGTACACAATGACCTGCAACACCCTACTCAGTCCTGCAATCTTATGAAGAAGGTGATATGATCTTCTTCGTATTCCAGTGAG